TGTGACGGATCGCCTGGCTGATCTTGAATCGGGTACATATGACCGAGGTCTTCTTATTCACGCATAAACGCCACATACCTTAGTCTCAACTCTGAGTTGAGAGCCAGTTTCCGTTCAAGTTGATGGAATTCCCTAAGTGCCAGTTGATGCGAATTGCGCAGAGCTTGTGCATCCGAGCGAAAGGGTATTTGTACAATGTACCGACCGTCACGGGAGCGCCTGCATTTCCTCTTGAATATTTCCTCGCAAAGGTCGGCCACAGCAATTTTAGCGCCAAAGTTGTTGTCTGCTAGTTCAGTCTCGAATAATGCGTGCAATAGTTCATCGATGCGCAAATCATCCTCATCAATTCGAGCTGGCATAGCCTGTAGTGGATTGTTGCCAGCGACGACCGCCTCGGCCGGACCAAAGACAACCCAGCCCAACTGAGTTTGCTGTGCTACTGGGTCATTAATAGCCCCACGAAGTATGCCATCAACTATCAATTGACCCCAAACATCTGACCCCAGTAGAGCATCGATGCGACGAGTAGAGCCAAATACCGGGTCAGCAAAAGACAGGTCCCGTAAATGTTGCCAACAATGATCAGCAATTGGTGCCACTGGAGTAGGTGTTGTAATAGAATTAATTATGTGGAAATAAACCTGAAGCTTGAACGACGGATTAACTCAGGAGTCGATGTGAATGACTTCCCGGCCTCGAATGTGTGAATACATTTTACCACCTATGCCTTCCACTCTTAGACCGCATTTCTGGTCTAGGTATAGCCAAACTATTAAAAAGACGTGAAGTAATAAAACTGACCTGAGATCCAGGGTCGCATAGTAATCGACATGAAGGCATATTGCCAAAACCATCTATGATGTGTACTTGCGCAGTTGCCAAGAGTATCAATCGATTGCTAATTAGGGTGAATGTTTTTACAGAATCATCTAGTCATTGATGAACTTAAGGAGGTCTCCCTGCATTGTCACTGGTTGCCATGCCCGATGTAGAATTAGCCATTGGTTCGTTCCGAGATGCCTCAGGTAGATTAGTCGAGGGAGCCACCAACTGATTACGACACAATATAGTGTGATGCCGCCCATTGCACGTTCGACAGCTGGTAGAAGTGCAAGCCTCGATTGAATGGCCAGGTTTCAAACAATTGAAGCACAAATTAGATCCCTTCAATTTGTGGAATCTGTCCTGAACAGGTAAAACCAAGAGCTGTGGACAACGCCCAATCCGGTGCGAATTTGTATTGCAATATTCGCAGTTCCCAGGTGTGGTTGCAGCCAAATTCGTTTTCACCAAACGAGAGGCACGGGTTGTATGCCCGCCAGGCGTATAAGTACGTTGAGTAGAGGGAGAGCTGTCAAGCTGTGTGCCCTTTTCTCCACAAACGCAAGTAACTCATCCAAGCGAGGTATATCCTGTGTAGTGCGGCTCATGCCCCTTGCCTGTTGCGTACGAGCTGGTAACTTTGATACTACGATGGGAACAGCCAGCGCATCCCACTGGTCCACAGCCAGTGCACGCAACGACTCGCGCACGGTATCGACCACCGATAGCAATGCGGATGCAGACTCAGCGGTTATTGGGACCAACCCGATAAATTGTGCAACGTGAATATCAGCCAATTGCCTCGGAAATTTCAAAATTCTACGTATATGTACATATATATATAATATAAAAATTCAACAATTCAATTTCATTAAATGTGGCAGCCAATTGTGAAGCCCCTGAGTGTGGGGACTTGGGGTCTTCAAACCCCCCCCTTTACTTCCCTCTGGACGCGTGGTTGCCACCATCCCCGGGCCTGTAATGCGTACACGGTACCCAATTGTACCCACCGCATGCCTGAATATTTGGCGTCTTCTTGGTTTCGCCAGTCAGCTGGTATTGTTGCTGGTTTTGCTGCATCTTCCTGCAACCATCGCTCGATCTCCCGTTCAACCGCTGGGTCTGCCGGCTCTGCTTCAATGCTGGCTGACTCCTCCAACCACAGCTCCAACCCGCGGTCTTCCTCCACCGACAGGGTGAGCGCACTATCA